CAATTTGGTCTGGGCCCGAGGTGGGCTTAATAACCGGCGACTACTGTATAACTTTCATCAGACGAGTCCTGTATGTGTAGCATACTATCGTAACAAAGTCAACTGTCACTCACGCTATTACTGCTGTTTATTGTGAATTAGGAGTTAGGTGAGGTTGGTCACTGAGTATATTCATATATGCTCTAAGAATCAGCGGGAAGGCGTCCGTGATATACTGTTAATTGGCTAGTTTTTTCACTGTGGTTCTGATAACTATCTGACACGTCCACAGAGGAGCAATGCTGGAGCGAGCATCTGTGAAGATTAGCTGGTCAATTGAATTTTCTATCGACTTTAACAAGCCCCGAACCGGAGGCCATAGATGCAAATTGAAGTCCTACGCCGTGATTGCCATATACTCTTGAACAAAGCCCGATGTTAAGTAGACTATATGGGGGCCACGAACTGTTGTTACATAGGTTTGGCCGCTAGCTATCAGTTAAAGCCGGCAAAGCAACGAAGGAGAAAACCACGACCAAATAGTCTGAGTGGCCATTGAAAACCAGAGTTTATTGGGAATGATATGAATAAGCATTCCATTCTCGGTTCATGTTGCAGATTTATTAAAATGATGACAAATTGGTCAGCAGCAAACCCCTGACAGTGAGCATTTGTATTCCGAACGTTCCTTGAACGTGATGCCATATATCTGACAATTTAGAGTCAACAATGCGACCAACTGTTTCCTGCCTATTCTAACTCTGAAGTTCACTATATTGAGAGTAAACTATTTCGGAATATCAGAGGATAGTTAGCAGTCCTATGGTTGCTACGACAAGATTGACACGCTTGAGACGGACCAATTTATAACTGCTTCGAAGCAGTGCCCAATCACGTTATGCGTGTATGACAGAGAGGCCAATTTACTTATGCTTCCCCTATAGTTCTGTCTGCAATCCAACGATAAAATGCTTTGTATTTTCGGCTACATATACTGATTAACCATATATTTAGTCATTATATCATTGCTTGACGGATATCTGGACCAGTCAGGTTGCATCTTTTCGATGCGATAATAGTAGAAGGCTGCGGAGTTTCTTCGAAATGAACATGTTACCTGTAATTAGCAAGCGTTCCATGTACAACACATGGTTGGAATTCATGAATAATGTCTCCATGTGCAGTCAAACCTATTAATAAGATACAGTGAATTGTTTATTTTTGTGGGGTCACCTGAAAGAATTCCTCGAAGAATTTATTTTGTGTGTGTAGCGTGTAAGAGTTAAGTCTCCCAATAATTCTGTCAGTCCCACGAAATGGCAACAGGCTCCTAATTAGACCGCAAGCATGATTTATTTGACCCAAACCACAAACGTTTATGATTTACAGACGACTTCACTGCCTACATCACGGCCGTGGTCGGGCAGCCTATTAAATGTAATGCTCTACCATTAAACATACCCCTTTCTTTGAGAGGCATGTTTTGGCCGTCTGCATTCCTTGACCTTTCATTGCGAAGGGGACTTGCTGACATAGTATTAATGCTGCTCAGTTTAGCTATTTATCATAAGGGCGTTTACCAGACTAAATTACTTCTTGTGGGGAGCTTTTGACGTCCATCCTTGCGCGAGCACTCGAGAAAGAAGACGAGATGCTAGATTTGTAGTGCCATTGGTCTGTAAAAGCCTCGAATGTATGGAAATAA